CGGCAGGTGGGGGCGTTCCCGGAGCACGACGGCGCAGCCCTGCCTTTGCAGGGAGGCTTTCGCTGCTGCGCCCCTCGGTCTTGCCCGGATCCAGATATCGGCCCGCCGCTTCTCGGCCGTGTGGCCTGGGGCGGGTCACGTTCCCTCTCTGCCTCGTCTGTCGAGGGGACTGATCACAGGATCTGACTCCGGCTGTGCAGCCCGGAGCCTGGTCACGTGGCAGTGGCCTCTAGCCATTAACTGTTAGTATTATTAGCACTTACTGCGCTTAATTTTTTTTTGGGGCGGGGTCGGAGTCTCACTCTGTCGCCCAGACTGGAGTACAGTGGCATGCTTACGATCCTTCCGCCTCAGCATTCCAAGTAGCTTGGAACTACAGGCGTGCACTACCATGCCCAGCTTATTTTTTTGATTTATTGCAGAGACAAGGTCTTACCAAGTTGTCCAGGCTAGTCTCGGACCCCTGAGCTCAGGCAGTCCTCTTGCCTCGGCCTCCCAAAGTGCTGGGATGACAGGCTTGAGCCACCGTACGACCCAATTTTTTTTTTTTTGTCGGAGTCTCTGTTGCCCAGGCCGGAGTGCAGTGGCACACTCGCGGCCACCGCAGCCTCGACCTGCGGGGCTCAGGCGATCCTTCTGCCTCAGCCTTTCAAGTAGCTGGAACTACAGGCATATAACACCACGCCCAGCTAATTTTTTGATTTACTGTAGGAATGAGGTCTTGCCATGTTGCCCAGGCTGGTCTCAAACGTGTGGGCTCAGGCAATCCTCTCGCCTCCGCCTCCCAAAGCACTGAGGTCACAGGCATGAGCCACTGCATCCTGCCTTACTGCACTTAATTAAGGACATGTTTACTGCATCCGCCGTGTGCAGGCTCTGTGCTAGACACAGGGACATGCTGAACAGGACAGGGGTGCCCTGCCCACAGACACCGTGCCACAGAAGTGAATAACTGCCGACTTGGGGTTACTGAGAAAGCAGATGACAAGGGGAAGGGGCTTTGTCTCCCCTGCATTAGTATCATTTTACCAGGGATCAGAAGGGTTGGTTGTTATTAATTAGGTGAAGGGGATGGGGACAGCGTGCTGGTGGAGGGGACAGCTTGCACGCAGGGCCTGAGGCAGGAGAGAGCTTGGCCAGCTCGGGGAACAGAAGGGAGCTGTGTGGCTGGGGGTTACTTAGAGAGGGCAGAGGGCGGGGATGAGGCGGGGTGGCCAGGGCCGGCCATGCAGGGCTGGGGTGGGCTGAGAGCTGGGACTTTGTCCTGGGGGGCTAGGGAGCCATGGAGGACTGTGAGGAGGGGAGGGGCAGGGTCGCTGTGGGGTGAGGGGTTGGAAGACCCC